TTAGCCTGGTTTGCAGTTTTGTTTGCTGTTTTGGGGAGTGGGGGAAGTTGACTGCATTGGTTTGTGGCTGGACACTTGAAGCCCAATACACAGCCACACCCACATTCTGGGTAGAGACAAAGCAAGGCTTTGAAGTGAGGTCAGTGTACTGAGACAGCCAGATGGGTAGGGAAGGAGGAAACCAGGCCCGTGGCTGCCACTGGGACTCCTGCAGAGGTACCCAGGAACAGGGACTGAGTGCTCTCCTTATCACACCCAGCATGACACCCCAGAACCCCATTCCACATCTGAAGTGCAATTGAAGAACTGGATGGCACTGGAGTGGGGTGGATCAGGTTCTGGGAACTGAATGTTGACAATAGACCACTCCCTCCCTCCTGCCATGGTACTGTCAGGTTCTTCACCCGAGTGGAGGAAGAGAGACGGGCGTGCGGTTGCCTTGGAGAATAATGGGGCATCTGAACCGCCTTTGGAAATCTCCTGGTGTAGTGTTCCTCTGCACGGCATCTTTGTTCCTTTCTCAACATTTGATCCTCTGAGTGCCCATCCAACGAGGAGTTTAAAATCCAGAATACAAGTGCCGAGTGTTCTGGGCCTTGAATTCACAGTGCTGGGCCATCCTGCCAGTAACTGTTTCCTTCGAGCATCTTTAGCTAAAACATCCAGGCCCCTGCGAGGTCCCTTTACCCCTTGTGCCCAGGAAGCAATGCTCAGGGCTTAACTAGTGAAGCCCCAGGTAGGGAAAAGGAAATAAAGAGAGTTGATTGGCTGTCAGAGACTGACTGGGGGCGTGGCGAATGTCGGTGGCACAGACCCCTACAAGAAAGGTGGGAGGCTCCTTCAGCGTGGCTCAGGAGTCTGAGGCCTACAATCCTCCTTTCATCCCTCAACCTTCCAACCGCCTCCCTGGACACTGTTTTTGTCTGGAAAATATGCTAACCAACTTTTACAAGTGCCGTCTCTAATGTCCTGGCCTGAGAGTTCATAAAAGATGGTAGACTAAGGCACGTGGTACTCCAGGGCAGGCCAAGTGTCTGGGAACAGGGATGGGCAACCACGGAGGAGTCCATGAGCCCATCTCCAAAGTTTCAGCTCCCGCTCACCTCCAAGGCTCCTGTTCTCAGAAGAGAACAGCATTCTGGGTGGGTTTATCACCCAAGTTTACCTGTGGGATTTGAAGGGAAGGCATGTGGAATGCTGGCTACAGGAGCGACATAATTCCTGAGACAAAGCAAAGGAGAAGAGAGTTGTCACTGCCAGAAGGTGGACGGAGGGAGTAAATGGTGGTGAGGGTCTTCTAAGATGAGGTAGACCAGTCCGTCCTCCTGGAACAGTCTCTCTCCACCGGCAAGTAGGACAGGAAAGCAACAGAAAGAAAAATCACGTGGTTCTTTCCAGCCTTGCACTTGTTCAAGAGCATCTTAGACGTCAGCATGAACAACTCGGTCTTAGGGACCACTCAGTCCAGCTTTCTTCTCTTGTTCATAGATTCTGACCCCCAACGTAAGCAGGTCCTTGGCCCAGGCAGGACCACTGCTGCATGCCAGCTGGACTGAAGTGTTCAAATGCTGTAGTCCACTAAACAGCCCTCTCATGAGTGGACCCCATTCCCTTCTAAGTCCTTTGTCCTCTCCAAAGACCCAAATGGTCTATTTGTGTACTGCTTTTGATGCCTAGCGCACCATTCATACTTAGCTTATCCAAGGGCAACTGGTTTTCTCTGCCTCCCTATTCACCCTGTTCCCTGTGCTGAAAACACAGTAAGTCCATCACGGAATCTCTTTCCTCAAAGTCAATTCATGAAAGAAGTGCTGTGCCCATTTTACAGATGGGGAGAAACAAGGTTTAACTACCAAGGAGAAACCTAAGATTCAGTTACAGATATAGTCCTTTTCCTTCCATGATCTACTATGATTCAAATAAGATTGACTGAACAAGGACAGTCCCTTAATCTGAGGCCCTTAGTGTAAAAGCAAATATGCCAAGACTATTTCTGGGAGTAGAGGGAGAACAACTTAGAATGGGCATCTTCAGGTAATAGCATGGACTCACGAGCATTAGTGGCCTAAGCAGATGCTAAATTTGAGGAAGAAAGGGGAAGCTGATGGCCCTCCACATAGAGGATCCTCCAATGTCGGGAGAGGCAAACGGTGCACAATTATTTGCCTGACAGAAATATTCCAGAGGGCCAGGCAGCAAAGTGTGATGAGGCCAAAGCCAAGGGCCCAAAGCATGTTGGGTGAGCAAGCTCCAGGCTGAGTCTAGATCTGCCTGATGTGTAGTCCCAGCTGCAGCTGTAACCAGTAAGCATGGTCCTCTGAGCACAGGGTGATGTTAACCTGTCAATCTATGCACGAGACCAATGAGATCCACCAGAGTGAAGCACCGCGTGCGAGAGCCTGACATTCACAACCCTAGCTAGTTCACTTCGAAGCCGGGTATGAAATCTCCCTCCGTCTGTACAGGAACTGAGATGGGTAAAGGATTCAATGGGGAAGGCAGATCTTGGCAGAGGGCGGAGCTCAGACCACAAAGCTTCTCCTTTGGAGGTCTCATGGGCAAGCTCCCCAGCTGACACAGAGTCAGCCCACAGCTCACAGGCATGAAAGGGTAATGGAACACGCAGAACTCATCCTGCTCCCAGTTTTAGCCGTCATTCATGTGCAGTTTCTTGACTCACTCTGCTCCATCGTGGCATCGCGCTGGGAAACCATGGGACTCTGAAATCTCCATTACCGTTCTAACTTATAACTACCCCTCAACCTACAGTCTGCTTGTTGGGGATTGGTTCTAATGCTTTGATTTAATCATGAATCTATGTGAGTCCAAATGCTGAAGGTCCTTGTCCCCAATAGTTTTATTGATCAATCAATAAAGATGCCAGTGGCTAATGGTTGGGCAAAGGGAGACTGGATGGGACCTTTAGATTTGCTCGGGCTAGGAACTGGGAAAAAGGAAACAGAAAATCATCATGGCTAGGGGTCAGGGGCTGGGGGAAGAAGGATGGGACATAGGAGCTGCAGGAGAGAGAGCCAACCAGCCATGTGAGGTTTCAGGTGGGTGGCCACTGGCCACTTAGTTCCCTGATTGGGCCTGGGGTAGCCGGGGAAGGTTTAGGAGTGCCCAACCTTTGAGCTAGCCAAGGTATTTTAAAATTAACTCTGTCTGTCTGTGTGTGTGTGTATGTGTGTGTGTGTGTGTGTGTTCCATTCGCTAATCCAGATAGCTCCTGGGCAGATACATGTGTGTGCACTCACACACATGCGCACATGAGCACGAAGAGGAGTAGCTACACTCTCCGCTACATCTGTTCCTCCCCTAAGTGAGTTGACTGTTTCTTCCCTAGCTGGTCCTGAAGACTGATTCAGTGAATGAAAGGCACATGGAGGAGTATCCGCAGGTAGAGGAAGGTTCTCAGTCAATGTTAGACATTGTGAACAGTGAGAATACTGCACATCAGAAATTGAGTTGCCCCAGGGCCTGGCTGCCACACCACACCTGCTCCCTGCCCTGACAGGGGCAGAGAGAGCAGGTATACTCATCAGAGATTAACCTACCTAAGCCTTTGACTTGACCAGGATCAGAGGCAGAGTGGGAATGCTTTTAAGTGGCCAGTATTAAATGTGCTGTGGTACTTCTATGGAGGGTCATGGGGTTCGAGTACTATCCATTCAGCAAGACAGAGAAGAAAGGATGTGAAGGACAAGGCCAGCCAGGCCACGACAAGGGAGGAAATGTTTCCCAAACAGCAGAGAAGAGTCAGGCAAGGAGCTGTAAACCCTGCAGAGTCCTCCACCCACACCACGCCCCTACAGATGAAGAGGAGCAGGTTTCACTAGAATGAGCCCCTCAGATCCATGACTTTTGATCCCCGAAAGGTCAATGGGGATCCACAAAAGAAGCTCCTGGGGAACCCACAGAGTAAGAACAAGGAGCGACCTCCTTCTGTGTAGAACCACATGCAATGAAGCCATACTCTACCACACACAACAAAGTAGAGATAATCTTGTGACAACAGGAGAGGGACGCCTATGAATAAACGTAGTGACCGAGAAAGGCTGTCTGTGTGCCTTTCCTTGACCTATGGTGTGTATGGGAAAGGAGAGAACTTAAGACACCCAAAGTAGCTGGACACGGTGACACATGATTTGAATCCAAGTACTTGGAAGGCAGAGGCAAGTGGATCTCTGTGAGTCTAAGGCCAGCCTGGTCTACATAAAGAGTTCCAGACCAATCAGGAATGCATAGTAAGACTGTCTTAAACAAACAAAACCCACAAAGTAGCACCGAAGAATACTTTCTTGTTCAACCAATAAATTAAAATGGATGACTTTGTTTTAACACTGTATCCTCTCTTCCTCAGCCAGCTCCAGGTCTGAGCTCACAATCAGGGCCTTTCTTCAGCCCTGGAGCCCAGCTCTCATCTGTAGAAGCTGTCAATCATAGAACACTCTACCAGACCCTAGCTCAGAAATCACCACTGTGTTGGGATCCAAAGGCATAGGAATAGCCAGGGCACAGGCAAACTTGGAAACTAACTTGGACACAGAGTACTCAGTTCAACACCTCTCCTCTGGTCTTTTATTTTGCCTGAATGTAGAAGAAAAGATCTAGATTCTTAGCAGTCAGCAGAGCATTTGAAGGCCATGTCCCACCTGCAAATCACATTTAGTGGTGTTTCAAGTAAAAGCCATCGGGGTCTCCTCTGAGCCTTGGTGACAGATGACAGATGCCTAAGGAGTGTGTAGACATCAAGAAAAAATGACTCGGGGTACAAACAAACTCATGCAACAAACTATATCATGCAATAGCTATGTTACAGACACCCCTGCACATCACCCAAGCCACTAACCACTTCTTCCCAAGAGAGTCTCGCCGCGATTCTCAGCTCTTTCTTCGGAGGCTTCCTCTACCTGCCCTGGGTTCCACTTTGCATCTTTCCTGTGTCTAAAGCCATCATACCCTGAGAACTGGTCCCCGTGTCCCAGTTGCTCAAGTACCTGTATCCTTGATGTGGTGTCTGGAATTATTTCCAGTCAGTTGATTAGCAAAACTGTCCCAGACAGCTTCAGAAGAAAACAGCTTCGGGCGTGGGTGATTTAGAAGCTCCTTCAGAGGCCTATTTATGTGGCTGGTGGCTAGAGGATGGAGGCCTTCGGGTGCACGGCAGTAACCCCAAAGAAGCACGACAGGCAGCAGCAAAAAGTCTAGGATGGTTTTGCAACAGCGGAGGAGGAGGAAGGCTCTTTCATCAAATAATAACCAGCCAGAGATAAGGCCTGCTAGGCTGAGCTTGGTCAGCCAATCGCAAGCTTCAGAGCATGAGAAGAGGCAGACCCAGGCTTCTGGAGCCAGTTTTAGGGCTCGTTATAATTTAATGATGCTGCACGGGGGTGAGTGGGGGTGGGGTGTCTTCTTGGCTTCTCCTGATGGTGATTTTCTACTGGGTGTGGGGGGAAGGGGGGCAGCAAAGCTCTAAGCTCAATAGCCCTATTCTCTGTGAAGGTGGCTATGCTAAGCATCGGGTCACATGGAGGTCTAGGCTCGTGGCCTGGCTGGGTCTACTTTGCCAAGAGTTCTCTCTCCTTGCCTCTGGGGAGCTGAGAAAGAGACTTCAGTGGGGCTGAACAGTGTAGGGTCAACAGAGGGCAAGCCTGTTTGACACTGGGTATGCAGCTCCCTGCTGGCGGTGCTGATGGGGTCATGGACACCTTGGTGACTTGAACTCAGTCCTCTGAGATGGTTCTCACACCATCTCTTCTGGGTGCTAACGTTCCTGTTTGTAGTGATGGGGTCTCTCCATCTGCCCGGCCTTTTCAGCCACAATTCTTTCCCAAGGTAGCACTGATCTTTTAAGATAAAAGATTTATGGTGAAGAAGATGGTTTCTGGAGGCCCAGCTGGCCTGGAGCTACATAACTGCCCTTGCATCATACCAGCCCTGTGACCTGACTGCAGAAGCTAGATGTAGGGGAACTTCTGCCAACCCTATAGAAACATAAACCTTTAGCTGACGCTGATGTGTTATATCTGAACACAGAAAGGAACTTAAATAGGACCATTTTGCCATGTGAATAGCCATTCACTCACCAAGTATGTCTTCTGTATTCATGGCCACCATGGGAGGCAACACACTGAGGCAAAAATGGTGTGGCTTCCCACCCTCGTGACACATGGTACATCGTGAGTTCATTAAAGGAGTCCTTAGTGGAAGGGAGCCAAAGTCAGGGCCAGTGCCGGGGCTTGTTGTGAAGGTGTGTGCTTGTCTAAAGAGAACAAATCGAAGAATCACGCAGTGGTGATGGGAAGTCACGTGGAAGATTAGGCGGAGGAGCAGAGCCACATACTGTCCAGGGGACTGCACACAAGAAGTAAACCCTGAGACAAACTAAAAATCAAATTTATGTCATGTTTGTGTGCATGTGTGTGTGTGTGTGTACATGTGTGTGTGCATGTGTATATATATGGGTATGTATGTGCGTGTATGTGTATATGTGTGTGTATATGTGTGTGTGTGTGTACATGTGTGTATGGGTGTGTGTATATACATGTGTATGGGCATATATGTGTATGTGTTTGTGTATGTGTGTGTATGTGTGTGTATGTATGGATGGGTGTGTGTATAAGTTGGGGGAGTATGTGTGTGTGTGTATTGTGTGTATGTGTGTGTATGTGGTGTGTGTGAGTATGGATGTGTGTATATGTATATATATATGTGTGTATATTTGTGTGTATGTGTGTATATGGGAGTAAGTGTGCGAATGTGTGTGGATATGTGTATGGGTATGTTGTATATGTGTGTGAGTGTATGTGGGGGGGATGGGGGTATTGTGTAAGGGTGCACACGTACATGGATGACAGAGGTCAGTCTCAAGTGTGTTCCTCTGTCACTTTCCACCTTGCTTTCTATTTATCTGGTCTTGTTTTGTTTTGTTTTAAGGCAGAGTTCTCACTTTAACGTGGTACTAACTAATTCAGCCTAGCTGACTGCCCTGTGAGCCCCAGGGATCCATCTGTCTTCAGCTCCCAGCACTACGATTTCAAATGTACACTACCATCTTCTCTGGCTTATTTTGGACCTTCAGGGAATCAAATTCAAGTCCACAAGTTTGGTTGCCAAACACTTTACTTACTCCTCACACCAAACTCAGGTGTGTATGTGTTGGTGTGTGTGTGTGTTTATGTATATGTATGTTGTGATATGTGCATGCTTGTGCATTTGTAGGAAGTGACACATGTTTGTAGAGGCTAAAGTCCAATCTCAGAGTCTAGGATCTTCCTCTACCACCGGCAATGAGCTCACTATCTAGGGTAGACTGCATGGCCAGTGAACCGCCAGGGTCTGCCTGGGTCTGCCTTCTTCCCACAGTGCTCGGTCACAGATGTTTACACACCTGACTTTCTTGTGTAAGCTGAATCCTCATGTTTGTGTAGCTTGTAGTTTACCCACTGAGTCGTCTACACACAAACACACACACTCACACACCTCATGTCTCATTGAGAGTAATTCATCGACCATAAATTACAGTGTCTATTTTAAAAAAACTTCTGCTGTATTGGTGGAATTGAACAGCCATCAATGGAATGAACTTTAGAGTACGTTGAAAGACTGTTAAGAAAAGCTTGGTGGAAGGAGGTGTTTCTATAGATAGGATCAGAATTCCTAGGATATAAATGCATCAAAATTTCAAAGAATAAATGAGAATATTAAAACTAATGAATAGCAAGGAGAGATGGGTGTAGCACTGAATCAGGTTGTTCGCCCAGCTCACAACATGCCCTGAGTTCTTCAGTGAGGAGAAGATAATTTTTGAAAAACACCTCATTAACTCTCCCGTCCCTTCAACCCCCACCCTCTTCCCCAGCTCCCCCAGGAGAGAATCCCTGCCGTTCTCTACACAACCCTAATCAACTTGCATTCTCTATGGGATCTCCTCTTCTAGACATTTCATAAAGGTTGTCGTAATATGTCACCTTAATGTCATAAATATCCCTTCATGTCATAAATATGTCACTTTCATGTCATAACATGTCCCTTTATGCCATAAATATATTCCTTCACATCATATCATGTCCCTTTGTGTCATAGCATGCCCTTCCATGTCATAGCATGTCCCTTTGTGTCATAGCATGCCCTTTCATGTCATAGCATGTCCCTTTGTGTCATAGCATACCCTTTCATGTCATAGCATGTCCCTTTGTATCATAGCATGTCACTTCATGTCATAGCATGTCCCTTTGTGTCATAGCATGTCCCTTTGTGTCATAGCATGTCCCTTTGTGTCATAGCATGCCCTTTCATGTCATA